TGGGGGTGAAATAGACGTGGGTATGGTGAGGGGGGGGGCATCCTCCAAACCAATCAGAGAGCTGGCAGTTCAATTACAAAGAAATAAAGGGACATTCATCATTCAATTAGGCACCTGTCAGGGCTCACAAAGGAAGAAAACTTCTAACCTGGTACTCCAGGGAGAAGATGCTCAGAAGAGTGGACTGCGAGTGACTGGAACAAATAAAAGAAGGACAAAGTTAATTACCAGAGTGCATTGCACAGAGACAAAGGGAGAGGGGGAGCTTCAAAGCCGGAGCCAGCTGCCCTGTAATCTAAAAGAACATGAAAACAAGTGTGGCAAAGTTGTTCCAGATGAACACCTCTGACAAAGGATTCCAGCCACGATGGCGTGGGGGTTCGAGAAAGGGGGAGTTAGTGTGTGGTATGAGAGATGAAAAAAATATAGCCCGTTCTCCTTTCACTCATACCATCTTCATATTTCTCTCTCTCTCTCAGAGCATTGAAAGCTATATTGTTCATGATTAGAAGAGCAGTAAAAATCATGCAAATGCAAGACTGCATAACTAAAATAAACATGGAAAAATTAGAGAGAATTTAATGACATTCTTGGAAATAATTAATAGGGTTCAAGTCCATTCGCTGGGGAAAAACACTGCATTCATCAGCAATTACACTCCCTGGGTCAGTAAATATTTCTTTGCAGAGATGACCGCTGTGAGCCTCTGCATTTGTTTGTGCGACTACTGAAGCAATATACAGATATGAGAAAGTTTTCCTGCCTCACTGTCGGTGCTGGCATATGGGCCATTCGGGAGCCCCCCCACTGCAACTGATGAGCTTTGAAAATGGAAACTTTCACTGCAGGAAGCTCGGACTCCCAGGAGTCGGTCAATTCCATGGGTTGCCATAAGCTACATTCATCTCCAGCTCCAGTCAATGTCAAACACCTGGCAGCGAGGCAAACCTGGAAAACAGGCAGCTCCAACAGGGACTAGCAGCCCCCTCGATATCCCTCCCCAGCCCCCACAGCATCCTTTGGGTTGAAGATAGTTAAAGTGGTGACAGATATTATTCTAATTGGATGGTACACACCTCCGCCCTGCATATAAAACAAACATAAAGCTTCTGCAGAGGCATGAGCACACACATTCAACCTGCTCTGTGGTGGTCTCCAGTGGTTCCGTGTCTCCATGTACTGCTCTCAGTACATTTGATTGTTAAATTTAATGGACTTTTCGTTACAAGTCACCTGAGAACGGTATGTAAATACTGATGTGGAGTCGATGCTTCCAATCTGCATTGAAATATTGAGCCCACAAAGGCCTTCAACATCAATCACTATAAACCATGAAATAACCATGTGGCATGTAAACAAAGCCAAAGGAATCTCAAACAGTGATTTCTATCTGAAGTCCCAGCCTTGTGACCATATCTTAATAAAAGAATTTCAGCCGCTGGAATAGTTTAGCACTTTATAATCACTGAACCCACCAAAGACGTCATCTCGGGTTCTCCAGATGGTGGATTTAAAACCGTTTTAATGCTCTGGCTGGAGAACAACTCTGTGAATCTCAACCCATCACACAGATGAGTCGACTACAAAGTTACAGTCACACAAGAGGAGGACAAAACGTTTGAAGTAAAGGAGGAGAGGGGGGGAAACAGTCAAAAAAACATTGCCACCTCAGCATTAACTTACAATGATGCTTGGGGATGAAGGGGCCACTGCAATTAAGTGGGCCATTAAATGATCAACTGTCAACATGTAGACACTTAAGGGGAGAAAAGAAATTCCTCCACACTTCAACCTTGCACCTGAGCATTTCAGCAACATTACAGCCTTATTGTTGGCATGGGACCATCGAGATCCCCCCGTCGGAACAGACATCTGTTAGGCTTTAAATGGATTACTCTCTATAATGAGCATGATTACTGCCTAATTGCTAAATCTATACCCTGTTAACTTTAAAAGGGACATAAACTGCTCTTAATATCTGGGAAAACATATCTGTTTCAAAAACACTAAAAACTTTGGAGCCTTTTGTTTCTCTTTCTCACCTTAATCAGTTTGTGCAGACCAAAAACAGACTGCGCCACAAATGCTCAAAATAGGTCAAATATTGAAACAAGCTAAATATTGTCAAATTTTAAGAATATAAAAAAAACGAGGGAGATGGGAACAGATATCTGGATTCAAACCAAAAAAAGTCTGCATTTTATTGGGTCTGTCAAGTTTTACACTGAGCTCATATTGTATAATGCCCCTTTTTCCATTTGACAGACATTAATAGTAAGTTATCGCAGGCTTTACATTAATGTATATCCAACCTGTGCTCTCCTGGGCACAGTATGCTCACTCCATGCTAAAATATGGAGCCAAGTGCAGTGTTACAATGGAGATCTGATCTGCCTGCTGAACAGTAGCATTACATTTTCACTGTAATATATCCACCTCCTTAACTCATGATATCAGCATTTGAAGGAATTCAACCCGGGCTCAGTGGTTATAAAAACAAACCAAAAGGAAAAATATATATTCCAAAACCAGAATAATGCATTTGTCTTTTCTTTTTTTTTTTTTTAGCATTTACCAAAAGCCCAGGTATCAGATTTATGCACACGAGAGCAGCAGGATTAGTGGCTGTGTAATTTTATAAATAGTGACAAAGATTTTAAACATTTTCCCATTTAACGACACTTAAAAATTGTAGACCAAAATAGAACCAAAGAGAGAGGGTTGTATTGATTCAAATTGTTTAACATCTGAACAAACTAACTACGTATTGGTAGGAAATGTATGCACATTAAAGCAGA